TCGACCAGCCATGTTTCCTAAGATAGCTCACGTCTTTCATCCAACAAAGTGCCCAAGCTCTCGGAGACTCATTTTGCAAATGAGCCTGTCTACAGCTCTTGCCTTTTGGGCTATGCAATTCCACCCTCTCCCTCTTAACAACCCATACCTGGATTCACAGGCAGGGCCAACTCTATGTCCACAATCCGCAGGAAGTAGTTACAGAAAAAGAGCACTTCATCCCTACTCCCCAGAACCAGAACCAGAACCAGAACCAGACGAGGTCATTAAGAATAAGTTCATCTTAAAACCAGAAGGAGGAATGAAAGGACAAAGCCAGCCCTATTAGCTGTCGTGGCACCATTTGCCTAGCAGGCTTTTGACCTGGTTAAACATGACTGACATTTGACTCTTCTGAGCTTGTCCCCAGGACTGGAAATGACTGGAAGAACAGAACCAACCACTCCCTACAGCCACAGGCAGAAGATAACATCGGAACAAACTGCACTAAGTTTACAACGTTCCAGTAGCCCAGGGGCCACACAACGGCAACCCCCCCTTTTTAATCCAATTATAATCAAATGAAAGCTCAAAGCCCCACCCCTCAAGGCTGGCGTATCTTTCCAAACCAAGCCCCTCTCCTTTCTTGGAGAGTGGACGAAATCTTTATTCTCTCCATTTTCTTTTCTTTCTGAATTCTTTCACAGCCCCTGTCACCGACCACCTTAACATCCTTGTCTTCCCTTTTTTAGTTAAAAGCACCTCCAGCTCTCTTTGAGACTCCTTCTCCATTTCTCATGGTATTTGTAGGACTGTCAGTTGAAAGCAATTCTACACACACACGACAAAAGGTGGGCAAATTATCCAAACTAAGGCATTCATACTCTTTCTCCAGGAAAACTGCATCTTTTGACCTGAGAATGAGACCGTGACAACTGAAAAAGACTTTACATTAGATGATTCCTAAAGCCTAGAGCCTTGAAGGCCTGGTTCTTGGCCACCACAGCCTAGTGTTCAGCATCTGCAATGTCTATGTTATACATAAGTGCTGTGCCCTATGCCTACCACTCTGTAACCTCCCTTTTTCACTCAATAATATATCATGGGTATCCTTCCACACTGGTTAATATAGACTCGTATCATTACTTTCAATGGCTGCATACAATGAAAGTACCATAACCTAATTATTCAGTTCCTTACTTAAGGTTATTTACTACATAATAGTACGTACTATTGCAGATAGTTCTTTACTATATACATATCTTTTTGTTAACTTTTCCTATTATTCTTTTAGGATAAACTCCTAAATGAGGACTTGCTGAGTTAAAAGGCTATGCAAATTTTACATTCTGATACATAATAGCAGCTATGTAAAATGAGGCATTAATTTACACCTCTACTGAGACTGAAAGTACATACTTCCCTCCATCTTCACCAGACCTAGGAATTACTATCATCCTTATTAACACTGCAAACTGGGAAGTGCCCAAATATTAAGGTTACTGAGAGAAGGATTACCAAAAGTAATCAACAATATAATACTTTGTTACATTTTATCAAATTGTTTCACAACTAGCAATGTCTAAATGGAGTCTAAATTATATTACCAATATAATATTTGAAAAATATTTTATCTTCTTTGGCTTGGGCTGCTATAACAAATACCACAGAACTGAAATGGCTTCAACAACAGAAATTAATTTCTCACAATTCTGGAGGCTGAGAAGTTCAAGATTAAGATGCCAACATGTAGGTTTCATTCTGAGGCCTCTCCTCTTAGCTTGAAGGCAGCTGCCATTTGGCTCTGTGTTCCTACAACCTCTTCTTTGTATATGACCTGTGGGGAGGGAAAGCAGGGGGGAGGGGACAAAAGCTCTCTGCTGTCTTTTCTTATAAGGCCACTAACCTTATCCCCATCATGAAGGCTCCACGCTCATGACCTGACCTGACCCTAATTACCTCCCAAAGGGATTAAGCTTCAATGTTTGAATTTGGAGAAGACACATCAGATCTGTAACAAATGGTACCCATTTTTGCTTTTAATTTCATTTCTTTAATTACTAGTGAAATTGACTATTTTAATATGTTTATTGGTAATTTATTTTTCCTTTTTTTTCCTCTTAATAAATTGGTCTGTTCTGACTCTAAATCTGAACAGGAATGGTATGAGATGTCTGAAACATATAGCAAACAAAAAGCAAGGAAGCTACCACAGGTTACTAGAGGACTTGAAGCCAACCTGACTAAGCCTATCTGCCCAAAGATTGGGCAATTAGAGCACCCAAAGGATAATAACTGAAAGGACTGAAACATCACATACACTAATAAAGGAGTTCATAAAGATACACACACACAAAAAGAAAAAAAACCTCATCCATCACCACAGGAGGATGCTAGGAGTTGACTTATGATTTGGGGAAGTAGTGAACCCAGGGAAATAATCAGACATCATTCCCACCCTTCCTATACAATCTGTATTACCTCAGGGTAAGTCCCATATACTCTCCCACACAGCGAACATATCACCATTATAGTAACAGCTGAGAAACAAAAAACATCATCTGCATGAGCCACATATTTCATATGTACCATATGCCACTATCCACACGGAAGGGGATGATGGGACCCAATAAGGACATAACAGACGTATTAATTTTATCCCCAATGGGTCCTATATTTTAAAAGGGACTATGCATTAACTAATAACTAATTTGTTTTCCTGTTTGAATTTAACAAAGATATCTGTAATTTGCAGTGAGAGCTCCTAGCATCATGAGATTACCACAGTTGGGAATATTTAATATGTTAAAATGTAAAATGTTCATAAACAAAATACAGTATGCACATATAATGGCTTATTATTCAGCCTTAAAAGAAAATTCTGAAACATGACAACATGACAAAACCCTTAAGACATCAAACAATGAAAAATAAGCCAGTCACAAAAGGACAAACAGGGTAGAGTGCACTTCTATGAGGTCCCTAAACAGCCAAACTGCCAGAGAGAGAAGTAGGATGGTGGTTGGCAGGGGCTGGGAAAGGAAGGGATGGGGCAGTTACTGTTGAAGGGGTCTGAGTACAGAGTTTCAGTTCAGGAAGACTACAAACATCTGGAAGCAGATGGAGGCGGATGGTGGCAATTTATTTACATTGGACAGCAATGTAATAAATGCACTTAACGCCACTGAACTGTGGTTAACGCCACTGAACTGTGGTTAACGCCACAAAAGTGGTTAAGACAGCAAATTTTATGTCATGTATATACTTTATCATGAAAAAATTTAGTATGTTTAGTATACTAACATTTATGAACTAAGTTAATATTATGCTAGCCAAGTTAAAAGAAATTTGACATTTTACTGTACAGTCCCTGCAGTCTCACTAAGGGCAAATACGTAACTTCTGGTAATATTGAAACTACTTCACAGAATCCTAAATAGAAACCTATGCAATAACTAAATCAAAGCATTTTAATAAAAGTTTTGCCCAATCTTTAATGCATTTGATGAATCACATGCATAGTTGGACCATTCAATCCATGTTCAATCTTTCTTCATCCACACAAAGAATAGGAAACACTATGATGAATACTGTAAACACAGTAGCACAGATAAAAACAATGTCCTACCCTAGCCATGCACAAGACAGGCACTCAGTGAATGTTCCTGAATTCCAATATTCAGCGCATCTGCATTAAAACAAAAAAGAAAATCTGGTTGTCACCCTCTGTCCTATACGCCATCTAATGAGAGGGTTGAAATCAGCCTAAAAGGAAGGCTGCCCTCTCTACGAGTCTTTCCCTCACTTGGGGTCTCAGTACCAATGTCGATGGTTCAATGTTAAACAGGTTTCACGAACCAAATATCATTTTATGGGTTAAAAATTTTTTTTCTACCTAAGAGTTTTGGTGGGAAAAAGTGTGAATAACCAAACTGCCACTCTTATACTTTCATATGAAAACTAGAAAGTTCAATACGGTACACACATCTTTTCTAAATAAAAAATCATTGTTATAAAATATATAGTAGCAAACTCATTCTATTATTATGAGTCAGGCACAGAAAGCAATCCTGGCTTTCCACTCTGCTCCCATGTCTGACAGCTCCATTGTGTTAAAGTCTGTGCCCTATATGATCTCTCTAGTTCAGTAAGTTACATACTTCTAACCCTCGAGGTCAACAACACCCCCTCCCAGCACAGGAAAACTGCTACTTTCACAACCCTATGAGAGCATTTCAAATTCTTAAAGGAAATTCACATTCTCTAACAACTCTTTCATAAAAATTCAGCCTTTAAACTAAAAAACTAAACACTAGATGTGGCTACTACGATTCACTTACTTACTCGTTTTCCATGACAGTAAACTATAGAGAAATGAAGTGTGGATGCCTGAGATCCCACGAGTCTGAATGTGGCTCTCACACGATGTCGACATCGGCTTGCAAAGTGCCCCTCGAGACAGCCAGGCAGGGGGACCGCCGGGGCCGGGCTGGAGGCAAGGTGGTGGCTCTCCTCTGTGCAGGGTGCCCTGTCACTTAACTCCCGTGACAACCTCAACCCCAGCAGTCTGGCGCTGTGGGGCCTGGTGGTGAGCACTCTCCAGGGCCACAGCACCATTCCCAGGGGCCTTGCCGGCAAGAATCTAACTCTGACTACTGAGAAATGGAAACCCGAGACACAGAGAAAGAGGCGTGAGGAAAGGGACCCCCCCTTTCCCCAAAGAGGGGTATTTACATTCTTCAAAACCTTAGAAAGAAATTACTTTCCCTGTGCTTTCTAAAAATCCTGTCTATTGGGTATCCTTAAGTAAACCTGCGGAACTACTGCAAAACACCAAGAGGCAGAGTCCCCAAATAGAGAAATCCAGGAAACAGCTCCCAGCAAGGGGAGTTAATTGTCCCCGAGAAGCAAAGTGTTAGGAAACTTTCTGCTCACTGTGGCAATTTAGCAGGCAAGTCGCATCCACCCACAGTAGGACTGGGTCACCCTCATTTGCCTCCCCAAAGCTAGGTGGCCCTCACCTTTCCACCCTTGCAGTGCTCGGACGGGGCAAAATAGACTCCTCTTGCTGCTAGTTGCCCAAGCGGGTCCAACTTCAGACCCAGCACCATGCACTTTGCTGTGTATCGCAGGGGAAAGAGAGGAAGGGCTGCTTCTCTGGGCGGAATCCCCGTGATTTGCCAGACCAGGCAGCAGGAGCGCCAGTATTTCCAGGCAGCTGCCACGACAGGTGACCCGGCCGCTGTGCCGCTGTGCCGGCGCCCCGTTCACGCCGGGCATCACGGAGGTGGGCGGCAGGAAGGGGACGGAGGGAGACAGGGCGGCCTGGAGGACGACAAGGTGGGCACGGGCTGGAGGGAAATCCACTCCATCCAGACACTGGGGAGGAAGAGGAGGAGCACAGCCCCATCTCCCCGGGGAAACCGTTTTTAAGGGATTTTCTGGCTCTACAAGTAACAAAAAAAATGGCTTCAAGCCAAACGCCTCCTGATTTACACACACGCACACGCACACCAAGCTTCTCTTTCGTCCCATTTTCTGATACGCTGAAACAAAGGCGAAAACAGCTCAGCAGCGGGCAGCGCCGCCCGGAGCACGGGCATCCGCCACCCTCTCCCCACGCGCCATCCGGAGAGACCCCGAGACGGCCCGCCCGCCGCCCCCGGCCCGGCCTGGGGGCCCGGCCTGGGGCACCGCCCGCCGTGCTCCCGCCTAGCCCCCGCTGCGCCGGCAGAGGGGCCAGGCCGGGGCTCGGGTCCCCACGCCCGCCTGGAGGGGACAGGCGCTGGCCCGGCTCGGAGGGCACCCCGGGCAGCGATGGGCCCCCGCCGCCTCCCCGTACGGGAGGGCGATGGGGACAGCGGCCCCTGCCCGCCTCACCTCTGGGGGCCGTGCGGCGGCTCCGAGCTCGCGCCTCTCCGCCTCTCCGTCTGCTGCAGCCCCGCGCCGCCGCCGCTGCCGCCGCCTCCCCCCGCGTCTCCGGCGAGTCTCCGCCTCCCTCCACAGAGGCCGCTGTTGAGCTGGGCTGCGGGCCACGTGACCGCGCCACGTGACCCAGAGCGGTTGGCCCGCGCCTGACAGCGGCCTCGCGCCCTCACTCCGGGCTGCGAACGCCCACTGCCCCCCCCCCCCCACTCCGGCCTGGGGTCCCGGCCGGCCGCCACCTGCCCCCACGAGGGGAGCCCAACCCCACCGACCCGCCAACCGCCCCCGCGCACACGTGCGTCCACTGCGCAGCCCTGGCCCCTCACGGCCACTCCACAGCGCGGACCGCAGTGGGGACAACCTAACTAGCCCGGCCTGGCCCGCCCGCCGCACGGTCCGGCGCACGCGGCGGGGCCAGCACCGCGGGGTCGGGACTTAGTCGAGGCCGGAAGTGGCCTGCCACAGCCTCCACCAGACCTGCTCCGACCGCGAAGCCGCGCGTCTGCCCGTGGAGACGGTCGCCGGTCGCCGAAGGGTCCCCGGTGGTGGTGGTCGCAGCACCTCTCTTTTTGGTTGCTGTAGAGGAGGAGGGACCCTTCAGCGTCCTTCGAACGCTCACAGGGGACAGGCGCTCACGGCCCCCCACCCCCACCCCCATTACACGGAGGGCCCCGCACAGCAGGGGAAACTTTCCGCACAGCGTCCTTCGCGCTCGGCGGCGTGTGCTCACGAGACCCGTGCCCAGGGCCCGGCTCTCCGCATGGGTGCAGACCTTTCTGAAGACAGAAGGGCTCCCTCTCCTCCTTGGTTTGAGACACAAAATGCTCTACACCGCGCTCTTTGTAGGGGATCAGAACTTTTTCCTGTTTTGTCTAATGGCCACACCTCACATCAGCTTCAGTCGGAATAATTTCTGTGAATTTCTGGGGGTCGGAAAGCACCGAAAGTTAGACTGAGTCCTTAAATTCTGAAATTCCATGCCTAAGATTTCTCAAGTGTTGGCGAGCACTACCTAGATTTTTTAATTAAAAAAAAAAAACATGAGCCCTGGCTGGCGTGGCTCAGTGGATTGAGCGCGGGCCTGCGAACCAGAGTATCGCGGTTCGATTCCCAGTCAGGGCACGTGCCTGGGTTGCAGGCCAGTTCCCCACAGGGGACGCATGAGAGGCAACCATACATTGATATTTCTCTCCCATTCTTTCTCCTTCCCTCTCCCTCTCTCGAAAATAAATAAATAAAATAAAATAAAAAGAAAAAAATGAGTAAATTGTTAAAAAAAAAACATGACTTTTAACCTTGCGATAATTTGCCTCATGCATGTGTACACATAAATATAATGTATTTAATACAAGTATTGCTAGCAGCCTTATTTGATAACAATGACACCCCTAAAATTTTGAAACCTTTAAGAAAAAAGAGACAGGTCTTAGAGTGTCTTAAACATTAAAAAATAACTCTTACTTAAGTGTTTTGAGTATTATGCCTCAATGGAGAGCTCAGTATTATGCTAAATGTGGTAGAGGGGGAAGTGAGAAAAGCATCCCACCCACAACCCACGTATGTGCCCTGACCAGGATTTGAATCTGCGACCTTTCATTGCGCCTGCCACAACGGCGGCAGGACTCGGAAAAAACTTTATATCTGACCCTACTGTCAAACAGTAAAGAATTACTAAAAGGAATAAAGGTGAAGATATGCACTGGAAGAACTTTCTTGACTTAACAATCTGTGTAACAGTATAGAAATTATGTGACAAATATCATCATAATGCCACACAGGCGTTCTTCCTGATGCAAAATGAAAGTATTGACCTTGAAACCACTCTTCCCGGGACAGCACAGCTCTCCCTAAGGCCGTGTGTGTAAAGTCTCACACTCCAGCACAGGTGGGCACACAGGCAGCGAACTTCCAGCATGTCCACCACGGCCCTTGGGTTGAGTCCTGCCTCTGGGGTTTCCCACCGCGTCTGTGGTCGTGGGTATGGTCTTTGGAGCATCTGGTGTCTGCACTGAAATCTTGCTTCTGCCACTTGCCAGCAAGTGGCACCAAGAACAGGATGCTTTTTGAACCATACATTCTGCCTTTTTCAGTACCTCCCAGGGCTGTTGAAAGAACTAAATACTTCATGTAAGTACTTCGGGTAGTACCTGATAGATAATAGGTGCTCAGTCAAAGATAAAGGCTCAGGTTTCCGAAATGCCCACTACTGGCCAAACGCTGTGCCTTACTGGTTCTTGTTTTCCCTGGTCCTTCTGTTGCTGCGAATCTTGGTGGGTGCCCCCCAGCACTCATCTTACCCGCCACTGCCCTTTAGGGGTCTGTCCTTTCTCTGCCTTCCCAGGGCAAACACGGCCCCCTTAAGATGTTTTAACATTGGGGGGTGGGTTGGGATGGGAGTAAAAGACAGAAAACTGTACTTGAACAACAATTCAAATAAATTTTAAAAAATATTTTAATGTGAAGGCTCACTTATAGCAATTCATTAAATATGTTGTACATCTACATTTAAAGCTTTAAAAAAGTCTAATTGGGAAATGAAAACGATTGCCTCTCTTTTGGAGATCTGAGGCAGCTGGGAGCCATTAGGAAGGAGATTTGGCAATGGGGACCCTTCCACTGGCCTTTGAAATCCCACTCACCCAACAATTCTCATTTTGTTTTATTTAAGAGACTTTTAAATATTAGAAAACTTGGCAACACATTTGAAGAAATTAAACCAATCCATAATAATGGTTGAATAGTAATCACTAGAAGACAGTGTGTCTCATTCATGAATGGGCCTATTAACTGGAATTCCTTCAGCTCTAGGCTCAAGTTTGAAACAAACTTCTTACTACCCTGATCAAGATCCCAAAACTTCTGAGCGATGTGTGACCTTTCTTCAAAAACGACGCTATCGTCACGTCTGCCTTGACTTGCGTCAGGCAGTGAGCTCAGAGCTCACATTTGATCTGATAGGCATCGTGATAACAGTCTGACAGTTAGGTTGTGACAAATGTTCTATGCTCATGAACATCTTTGGCTGTGTGCCTGGGAAAAAGTACGGGCACAGGGTGGTGGTTGGGCACCACTGCGTGACTCGGGCTGGGCCGGAAGTCATCAGGCATCAGAAATCACAGCCTGGGCTGGTCTGCATAACCCCGTACCCCTTTCGTGTTACTCTAAGACGTCCAGATACTGAAGATCCAAACTCTTCTCTCAGGTCCTCTTGCCTGCCTTCCTGTCACTTAGCCTCCCTGTCCACCTCTCCTCTGCTTCCTGGCAGTGACATAATTCAGAGCCCAGTTTCTGCCAACTCAAGCCCCTCAGCCACCGAGATTTTCAGCACAGGGATCAGGAAACTGGACCCTGGGTATAGGAATGTGGAAGGTGTCCATGGCAAAGGAGCTAGAGCTTCTGGAGAATAAGATGCAAGCCTTTTGTCTTTCCGCAGATCCTGACAGCCAGCAATGCCAGTGCCAGCATAGGTCGCACTAGGAAAAGACAGCATTTGGGATGAGGAGGAATGGCCCGTGGCCCCCGTGCTCTGCACCCCAACCATTCCTCTCAGCTCAGCACACTACCGCAGTCGCATTCCAGGAAGGGTATTAATACGTGGCAGCGCAGCCTAGGAAGGGTGACCAGGATGGTGAGGACTCTGGAAGCTGTATCATGTTATACAGTTGTATAAGCAGCCACTAAAGACAACAGGAATGCTAAACCTGGAGAGAGACGCAGAAGAATAGGTGGGTGAATATGATCACGCGGGCATACTATTACTTCTTAATTATTGAGCTGCTTCTTTGGACCAAGCACTGCCCAAATCGAGAATCAGTATGGGAAGGGTTTGCTGGAAGGGGGTTTCCTGCAGATAGGAGAGAGCCTTGCAACAGGATGGTCCACCGGGGGAGTGGTAGCCTTGAGCCCACGTTTGCCTCTGCTTTGACTCTGGAGAACTGGGCCAGACACCCAGAGGGCAACAGCAGGGTCTTCCTCAGCCAACCGCATCTGCCCCCCACCCCACAGAGCGCCTCCAAAGCAGCAGTAAGGCCTATGCCCCCCATATGGGACGAGGAGTACTGCCCAGCTCACTCAGAAAGGAAGACAGGAAGTACCCACTCTGCTGTCTCAGGACCCTCACTTCAGAGACCTGCAGAGCAGAGCAGATGGACTCTGTGGCCTGCACCTGGGACTGGCCAGCACCTGGCCTCTAACAAAGAGAGTTTTTAGAGTCATCTCTTTCTCCCTCCTCACCTGCCCCCCATCCGGAGGAAGAGAAGAGGTGAGCAGGCTGCCGTACTTTGCCCCCAGGCACAGCTCCATCCCCCTTCCTCTGAATCTTTTCCTTGTCCACGTGGGCCCTCCAGGCAGCCCTTAGTTCCCACCGGACCCTGTCTGAGCAGGTAAATGTAGTTGGTACCATTTTTCTTTAAGCAGAGTAGCCAATGGCCTTCCTAAAGGGACTGCAGTAGCCTTAGTTCAACATCTATTAAAGCAGGTAGACACCATTGTCTCGGGTAAACTTTTCGTTTTTCCTGGCAATGTCCTGAGACCGCCTCACTGGTCTCTGGGAGGGGGAGGAACTCGTACAGGAGATCGATGACTCACCCTCAGGCCGACCAGCGGGCCCAGGGCTGGGAGACGGCAGGGCAGATAGAATCTGCGGCCCGCAGCTGCCGCTGGTCGGGGGAAGCTGTCCTGGCCTTCCTGGGGCTGTGCTGAGGCCACGTTTGACGCAAACCTCAGGAGGCTGGCTGCTCTCCGAGAAGCTGCTGGAATGGGAGCCCTGGCATTGGGAGCAGAGGGCTGCAAGGCTTGGGACTGAAGCCTGTTGGGGTGTTAGTCTCCCAGCTGAAGCATAGAGAGCGAAACCTGCTTCACTCAAATATCAAGCACCTCACCCACTTCGGGCTTGCCTGTTATTTCTCTGCAACCTCCTCGTTGTATCCTGTGTCTGTTTTAGCCACCACACAGAAGAGCTCGTCCAAACTAAAGGACAGACAGGGTCACAGGGCCTGGCTGTCATCAGACCACCACTCGGGGGCTGTGAGTGTGGGCACAACACTGCAT